CCTTTTGCTTTGAGGTTTTCTTAGCATTCTCTAGGCAGTAAAATCACCTACTAAAACAATGCATCTATCAACCTCCAGGGGAAAGCATGTTTTTTTTTAATCTTTTCATGTAATCTTAATCCTAAGGAGCTGCAAACCCCACCCCATCCTTTAAAAAATACACTAAGATATTTCAGCATTTGCAAAAGCATTTGGAAAGATATTATACTTCAGTTACAAATTTAGTCTAATTAGTTTACAATGCCATAAATTTTCCTTTCTTTTTTTTTTATAGTTTATTTATTTTTGAGACAGTATGTGCCCAGGGTTACACAACTAAATTTTCCTTTCTTTCTGTTCTGTCTTTATCTCTGCAACCTCAACCTGGTCAGGATTGAGAAGACTGATGAGAGACAATCTTGAAGGTTTTCCTGCCTATTCTAAAACCTTATCTGCTATGATCAAAGGGTCAGTGGAAGTAAGTCCCTGCTTATTGAGGAGAGTTTAGCATCAGAATTGTAATACATTACACATACCAGAGAGAGTTTTTTAAGATATGAAGCATTATTAACTAAGCTCATGCAATATTTTAATTTTTAAAATTACTGTCTGTTATAATGCAGATGTTGTAATGTTATAATATCAAATGAGGGGCATCAATATAGTTTTCCCTAGCATTCTAAGCTCCCTAGACTTGCTCCAGTTTGTTATCCTCTCACTGCTTTTCTTGGCAAGAGTGAAGGGAGCTAATCGTACCAGATTTGAGGGCCAGGGCCCTAGCTCCTTGCTTGTATAAGAAGGTGAGATTTTCTGATTATCAAAGCCCATCTAGGGGTGGAGAACCCAAGGCCTAGTGGCCCTGAACATCTGTAGAAGTAGATGTCAAAACCAGTTGTGGGGCAGCCTATTTTAGGACAGAATTTTTGATTCTCAAGGTCTGCCCAAATGTCTACAAAAAAAAAGGAATATGGGGGCAACTAAGTGGTGCAGTGGATAGAGCACTGGCTCTGAAGTCAGGAGGACCTGAGTTCAAATCCAGCCTCAGACTCATAACACTCACTAGTTGTGTGACTCTGGGCAAATCACTTAATCCCAATTGCCTCAAACCCCCCCATCAAAAAAAAAAAAAGGAATATGGCAAATGCTGGAAGGGATGTGAGAAAATAGGTACCTAAGGCACTTATGGGGGAGCTTTGAACTCGTCCAATGTGGAAAGCAGTTTGGAACTATGTCCAAAAAACTGTTAATCTGTATATACCTGTTGACCCAACAATACTAACTAGTAGGCCTATGCTCCAAAGAGATATAGGAAAAGGAAAAGGACCCACATGTACAAAAATATTTCTAACAGCTCTTTTTATGGTGGCAAAGAATTGGAAGTTGAGGAGATGTCCATCAACTAGGGAATGGCTGAACAAGTTGTGGTATGTGATTGTGATGGAATACTACTGTGCTGTGAGAAATGATGAAGGGGATGGTTTCAGAGAGAGATGGAAGGGGAGAGAGAGGGTTAGTTCAGATATCTGAAACACTATCACATCAAAGTGAGTTTCAGTTTCGTTTGACCCCCGAGGAAAGAACCTTTGCTGTCCTCTGCCCATTAGCACTGAGTAGGAGTTGGAAAGTGGTAAATGTAGACTTGACATCAGGAAAAACTCCCTAACAATTAGAGCTGTCCACAGGGAGTGTGGGCTGCCTGAAATCTCCTCACTGGAGGTCTCTAAGCAGAAATTGGCTGGTCACTTGTGGCTTCTACGCCTGTTGAGGCCAAGATCAAGTGTAGCTGAGATTCCTTTCTCAGATGGGATGAGCTAGAAAGCTGCTAAGGTTCATTCTGTGAACGATAGGGTCAAA